ACACAGAATCACTGAGGGAAGAGGAACTCAGGGCCAGCGTCTGCAGACAGAAATGGGCAGAGACAATGAGGAACACTGCTTACCAGCTCACTCAGCCTGTTTTCCTATTCCACCTAGGACCCCCGGGCCAGAGATGGTGCAACCTACAGTGGACTGGGCCTTCTCACATCAGCTGTGAATGAAGAAAATGCCCTATAGACTTGCTCTAGACTGAGAGAGTCCCTCTTTCCCAAATGACTCTAGCTTGTGTCAAGTTGACATAAGACTAGCCAGCAGGGGTGAGGGAAACACCCCGAATGTGGGCAGCACCATCTTGGGCTGAAATAAAAAGGGGGGAGAGGTTGACTCGGAGATGGCTTGGTGGGTAAGAGTGCTTATTTCTCTTGCAGAAGACCTGATTTGGCTTCCAGCACCCACATTAGGTGGCTCCCAGCTGCCCGTAGCTCCAAATCGAGGACACTGGACGCCCACTCTTCTGGCATCCATGGGCACCTGCACTCATGTGTACATACTGACCTGCCGTAATGAAAAAGAATTCTTAAAAAGATGTGTGCATGTATATGCATGTGCATGTGTGAGTGTGCATGAGTGTATGTATGCATGCGTGTGTATATGCACGTGTGCATGTATGTGCATGTGTGAGTATGTATGTGTATGCATGTGCGTGCGTGCATTTGTGTGCATTCACGTGCATATGTGCGAGTGGGCGGGGGCAAAAGCATACCGAGAACTGGCATTTTCTCTTCCCTACTTGTGGGTCCTCTAAGCAGGAATCCTTATGTTCTGCTCCTAAGGCCATGTTTTCCTCACCACGATGGACTATGTCTCCTCAAGTTGCCACCAAAATAAAGTCATCCTCCCTTAAGCTGCTCTTGTCAGGTCTTTGATCAATGCCCTAGTGGGGAAAATTGCAAAAAAATTGGTAAACTGTGTCTAGAGCTCACAGTATGATATGAGGAGAAATCAAAAATGTCACCACCTTCTTTGGACCCCCTGACATCCACCTACATGTGGCCTAGGCCATGAGGAGGACCCGGTAGTTGTGCAGGCCCACACTCCACTGGGTTGTAAGCACAACAGATTTCTCGTGTAGAGTCTCTGCTGTTCCTAGGGCCATGTTTCCATGTGTCCCAGTGAGACCCTCATGCTGGTGGATGAGTCCAGCTAGCTGCTTCCCGGTTGATGCCGGACACAGTGGGGTTTTTTGGCCTGCATGATTTCCTGAAGACTGGCAAGGTCCAGTGTGTTTTAGCTTAGCTGGAAGAAATCTGAGGCTCTGGCAGGCCTGGGACTCCTTCCCACATGTGGCTGATGGTTGGCACTGAGTGGCCCGTGGGTGTGGTGGGAATAGGGTGTGAACTCAGTTGGCCACCATGTTCCCTCCTTGCCATTTGACACTTATTTGTTGCTTTTCCTGATATCACTGAGATTATATATATATATCGAGACAGGGTTTCTCTGTGTAACAGTCATGATTGCCCTGGACTCACTCTGTGGACCTGGCTAGCCTTGAACTCACAGAGACCCGCCTGCCTCTGTGTCCGGAGAACATGTGCCACCACCACCTGGCTGAGATGACTGATTTTGAGAACTTCTGGAACTACTTTCCCATCTCTTCCTTTGTCTTCCTTCCCATGGCATGAGCTGCCATACAGCGTGTTTCTATGGACCTTCTGCAAGCTGGCCCTTCCTTAACACAGTGATGCCCAGTCCCTGCTGCGTATCACTGAGGATTCTTTTAAATTCTATACCCTGGGTGCATCAAATCACGACTTCCAGAGCCTCATAAAGCAAAAGGAAGCTAGAAAAAACTCTCTAGTGGAGGGAGAAGCTGAGGGATGAAAAGCTGTGGTCTACAGCACTAACTGATGCCCATGTTGAAAATATCCCATCAGTGGCTACCTTCAAACCGCTCCTATGTCTTCACTGTCCAGGGCTGACAAGAGGCCATCAGGAGTCAAACACCACACATTGCTCTCACCCAGTAGGTTAAGAGCCTGATGCCAGCTCGATAAGCTATTATGGTTGTGGTGAGTTTTGAATGCCTATTACTTTTATTTTTAATAGAATGTTTAGCTAATTCTGTGTTTCTATAATATATAATTTTAAAATAATAACTATACAGGGGCTAGAGAGATGGCTCAGTTGTTTTAAAGCACTGGCTGCTTTTGCAAAGGATCTAGATTTGGTCCTAACAATCACCTGGAACTCCAGTTCTCATGATCTGGCACATTCTTCTGGTCTCCTTGGGCATCTGCACACACATAGAGCACACATATACACACTTAGGCACACCCACATATGCAAAAAAATCATGAAATTTTCTTGCTATTTCTCCCCCCTTTGGATGGGGTTTTAGATAGTCCAGGCTGACCTTGAACAGCCAATGTAGTCGCGGTTGGCTTTGAACTTCGGATCCCCCTGATCTCCCACTTGTTGAGCTCATAAGCCTGTGTCACCATGCCTAGTCTGTGTGGTACTGAGGGTTAAACCAAGGCCTCACGCATATCAGACAAATATTCTATTAACTGAGTTAAAACACAGATCACTGTTGTTGACTCAGAAGGTCTTAGGCGGGCTGCTTTTAACAAGTCCCCAGGTGATGCTATTCCTGCAGGGAGATTGAAGGTATGCCAACACCAGCCTTCAGTGTGCTTCCCTTCACAAATGGGCCGTATTTCTCTCCAAAGAGTCAGCCCTCACTCCTGCTTTGAGGTGGTAATCCCTCCCAGGGGACAGCAGGCATGACAGTTGGCAAATGCCTACACACAGTGCTGGAACCTGAAGATGATGCGGTGGCTCTGAATCCCCCAAAGTGCCATGCACCGCGCCCCCGTGTCTGCGCTCTGTGTGCTGGCACCCAGTTTGCGAGCTTTGGGCAAGGGAGCTGGAGGTGAAAATACACAGACAGAGAGGCAGCAACACGGGCCATCCTTGGATTCCCCAAGAACACCCCCTTTATTGTGTCCAGGGGCAGATTATATAGGGATAGCCACGCCCCAGCCAAACCCACCAGAAACCACTCTCCTGCCATCAGGAACTCCTGACGGTCTCGTGCTCAGAGCAGCTGTAGGCACTCAGATCAGGGAATTACAAGAAATTCAGGATCTGGGGTCTCACTGCTCCCAACACTAAAGCAACCTTTGAATCCTCACAGTGCCCTTCTCCCATCCCAGCCCCAACATCCAGGGCAACATGTAAAAAGAGGAGGGGATGGCAAACAGCAGGGCTATTACCAGGTTCCTAGGGACAGCACGAGTGTCTGACTGACATCACTGTAGAAGCAGACTAGTTGTCGGTGGACCAGGAGTTGAGGAGTGAAAATGGAGTATAGAAAGCGAGGTTGCTTTTTGGCCTCCATGAGCAAAAGCTAAGGAAAGTCAGAGGCTAGGTAGAGTTTTCCAGAGGATAGCCAGGAGGAGGTATACTCCCATACTAGATCTATATGTCCATAGACCTATCTTCTGTCATACAATTCTGCCTCCTGCATGATGGAGGCTGAGAGGCCCCACACGGAGCAGGAGACCCAGGAAAGTTGCTGGTGTGGCTTAAAAGCCTGAAAACTGAGACCCTTGGCAGTGAATCCACACGTGACGGCCAGCGGCACTGAGGGCAGGAGATTGTCATTCTGGTGGCATCTCGTAATTTTGATTTGCATTGACTTAATGGCAAACACTGTTAACTACCTCTTCATCTGCCAGGAATATCCTTTCTAAAAAAAACAATTTGGCAGTACATGTCAAAAATTACTAAATGTGCATATAATTTTATCATAATACCTTGATTCTGGAGTTCACTCCAAGAAACAATTATGGTTGGCTAAGAAGCCCTTTGGAAAAGACAGTCACCTTTGTAGGAGGCAGGTAGGTCCTTGTTCTTACAGATAAGGAGTAGATAAACTAGAAACGTCAAAGACACAGGGTTATCTATTCAAAGGAGGGATGTATTCTACCCAGAAGGCTGGGCATGAATGGATGTGGCTTAACAGTCTGGTGACTTTTGTGCTATCTATATGGGGCAGGACACACTGGCTCCCTAAGACCCTTATCTTTTATCTCAGTCAATCTATAGCTCTATCCCTCCCCCAGAACCTTATCAGGAGCTTTGTTTACTTTGAGCCTTTTCCCTCAGCTAATCTATAGAATCTAACTTTATGAAAAATGTCATTTGTGTTTTGCAAGAATGTCCATGTATTCTTGTCTTAAGGTTTGTTGTGTACACAGGATTAAGTTAATCATTATCAGGAAACTTATTCCCAAATTGTGCTGTGCTTAAATATGCTTGAAATAAACTACCTTGTGTCAGACTTTTGAAGTTTGAACTAACACTGGCTACTGACTCATGTTCCCTGACTTCCCTCTTGCCTCTCATGGATTGACACTCTGTTGGCTGCGCTGTTTGCAGAGACCCCCACACAACATATTATGTAGCAGTGGCGGTTTCTGTAAACAAAAGTTCAGTCATATGGGGCGAGCTCCTAAGAAATAATGTCTTCCAGATATAACAAAGACACTACAGTTATTAACTCTGGTAACCTTCATAAGACCTGTATAAGATCAAGCCAATCAACAGTCCAGCCTGGATGAGGAGGGGCACGGAAGGGTCCACTCTGAGCTGAGGAATTATTTATCATTAATGGCTCCTGACAGTCAGTTTCCTCAGGGATAGTCCTTGACAGGTTTCCCATACTCCAGTGGGTGCCCAACATCCGAGCACACAAGGACAATACTGATTAGACTCAGTGTGTTACTAGAACTTAATGGGCAATTGGGAGAGGAACGTGGTTGGAAGTCCAGGAGGAGTTGAAGGAGGAAGAAAGGTAATTGTAATCAAAATATATTGTTTATATGTATGACACTCTCAAGGAATAAATTAGAACATTAAAAAAGTCCAACCCCTGAGCATTGATTAAATGAATCCATTCATGAAAGGCAACCTGATAAAAATAATTGGAAATAATTATATGAAGACTAATGACATGGCTGAATGAAAACGCAGACTATGAAAGATAAAACCCTAAATATATTTAAAAATGTATAAATATATGGAGAAGGAGGCTCTAAAGACACAGCCCAGAATATTAACAGTGAAATAGATATAGAAAAACAAGTGGGCAGTGCATCGATCCTTCCAAAATAAAAATCCCCAACAGGATTACTATGTGATTCTGGATACGGTAAAAAAAAAAAAAAAATTAAAATCAGGGTTTCAAACAGATATCTGTAGACTGTGACCCTGACAGCATTATTCACCATAATCAAAGGGTGGGCATAAACTAAGGTTTTGTCCCAAGTGCTTTATGATGTAATCCATATGCCCCAACTCATACACTTAACACACAGAATAGTTTTAGTGTAATCCTAGGGTTTGACACCATCCCCATAATCAGTTTTAGAAAGTTTTTGATGCTTCAAAGGAAGCTGTGAGCCTTTATCAGCCACTCCTCATTTCTTCCTACCTAGTCTTGAGCCCTGGACAAGAACTGGGCACTTTATACATCTTTGTGTCAAAGGATAGAAGATCTGGCAAGTTGCTATCACTTAGTTAAGTATTTCCAAGGTCTGGATGTGGTGTAGTGTGTATTAGGATAGTATTATTTCTATGCATAAATATATATTGTGCAGATTTATTCGTCTGTTTATTAGTTTGTGAGCAGTTTTGGCATAGTAAATAATGCTGCTATGAGCATTCTTATACAAGGTTTATTTGTTTGTTTGTTTGCTTATTTATTGATCTATTTAGTGAGGATGCCTGTTTGATTTTCTCCATCATACATTAACTATGTTTATTTGAAGAACTATTGGATCTTTTTTAAGTGTTTGCCATCGACCACTCTCGGCAGCATTAAACAGATTTGGTTTTTGCTTTTAGGTCTTTGATAAACTTTTCAAAATTACATTTTTTTTCAGTGTGTGTGTACAAGCAGGCATATGGGCGTGGTGTGTGTGTGTGTGTGTGTGTGTGAGAGAGAGAGAGAGAGAGAGAGAGAGACAGACAGAGAGAGAGAGAGAGAGAGAGAGAGAGAGAGAGAGAGAGAGAGAGAGGTGCTGCTTCTCTCTTTCCTTCCTATCCATTTTATGAGCCTGGAGATTAAAACTCAGGTCATCAGGCTTGGCTATCTGCTGAGTCGCTTGGCAGGCTCTGGTAAATTTTGTTGAGAAATGGTATTTTCTTTTCCTTTTACCTGTGGGTGTCCAGCTGTTCCTTTACGATTTGCCGAGAAGCCCATTCTTTCTCTCCCGGATTGGTTTCTTCTCATCTCTGTTCTTGTCCGTTCATCTATGTGTTTATCCTATTCCATTTCCAAACTTGGATTACTGTAGCCCCGGAGCGGGCTTAAGATCGGAAAGTCTGAGCCTGTCAGCACGGTCTGTTTTAAAGACATTCTTCCTACTTTGGGTCCTTTGAATTTCTGTACCAGCTTTAGAATTCATTTGTTGACTTCTGCAAAGGAGTCAGCTGCGATATTCAGGCATCATACCGAATTGTTTTCTTGTTTTGCTTTATAAAAATCTTTTTATAGTTTGAGAATTTATAGATGCACATAATGTCTTTTGGTCAAATCCATCCCTAATCCCACCCTTCTGATTCCTTCTTTATTTTCCCCTCCCCACCCTCAACTTCCTGTGCTTTGCTCTATGGGTATGGGGTAGGACCAGCTACCGGAGCATGTGTCTCTCCAGGAGCACATTCTTAAAGAAAACTGAGTTTTGTTCTATGAGCAGCCATCAGTTACCGCTAGTTCCTCAGCTAGGGGCGGAGCTTCATGAGCCCCTCTCCCTTCCACGCTGGGATTCCGGATGATTTCATCTTTGATCTTATGCATATAGTGATAACCACTGTGAGTTCATGTGTGTAACAGCCCTGTGCACCACACCAGGCACACAGGCCAGTTTGGTCTGTGTTGTCATCTAAATAACAGTGGGTCTTTTAATCCATAAACATGGTTGTCTCTTGATTGATTTAAATCTTCTATAATTTCTTTCAACAATAATTTTCTTTTATGAGTTATAGATTACGTAGTGATTTCCTGCCTTCATATAAGAAATTGCAGTAACTTTCTTCCCCATTTCCTTCTCCCATCCTTTCTCCCAGTGGAGCCCCCTCTCCTCAATAACCCCCCCTCTTCCTCTCATAGCTTCTTCTTGTGTTTCACCCACTGAGTTTAGTTTCCTGCCCTACCTCATCCATTTTTGGGTTGTAAATTATAGAACTCTTTTGTTAATGGGCACATTTTTTGTGATAGGATATGAAATAAAATAAAGTATAACATTTTCTATTTTAAGGTATCATTTGGTGTCATTAAGAGCATCCCCATGGCTGTTATGTTATGTTATGTTAAGCGTGACCTGCTTCCATTCATCCAAACGAAACTCCCTTCCATTAAGCAACAACTTGCCCCTGCCTCCTCCTCTGAGAGCCTAGAAGCAAGAGTCCCACCTTCTGTCTCTAGAATTTGATCGCCCCAGATCCCTCGCGAAGAATCATACAATTCATGGTCTTGTAAGCAGAATGTGATCAAGCTGTCACAGTCAGACTCGAGTGAGCAGAGCCAGGAATTAGATCTTCAGGATGTGCTTTACTTAGAACAGTCAGTCTGAGAAGACGGTGGATTCCCATCCTAGAGATCTAATTCCGTCTCTATCTCCAGGCAGCAGACTCTCCAGGGAGGAACGACTGGGAGGAACGAAGGCAGCCATCAGCAGTCCCGTAACTCAGTCTTGCCCCTCTGGTCAGGTAGGGTGGTCAGCCATTTTCGAGACGTATGATGTCTTGGTTTCTCATGCTATCTATCCTTGGACTCTATCCTCAGTCAGTGCCTGGGCTCAGGCAACCTTTGAGACCCGAGTCAAGTTAGGTTCCACTGGCATCAACATTGTGCTCCTCCAGGGTCATCAGGGGAAGGGGGGCTTTCAGGGGAGGGCCAACGCACAACAGACCACGAAGAGGTGTGTGCTTGCTCAGCTAGGGATTTCTACAATCTAGAGTACAACTGTGTCTTTATAATAAAGAACCTGAAAATGCTCCCTTCTGTTCTTTCTGTCCTCTGTCCGGCTTTTATTTGTATGTGTTTGTTGCACATAGCGCAGTGTCTTCAAGGTTCATCCACACTGCAGCACGTGGCAGCATCCCTTTCCTTCAAAAGGCTGCTATCACATGTGTCCGCGGTTTCATTTACTGTAGATACTTGGTTCATTGCCCCTGTTCGGTTCTTATGAGAAACACAGTGTTAACATGGATGCGTATGTGTCTATCTGAGTCCTACTTTTAGTTCTTTTGGATGAATCCCAGAAGCAGAGTTTCTGAATCATCTGGTGACTCTTTTTAATTTGGGGGTTACAGATAATTTTAATGTGCCTTTTTTTTCTGTTTTTTGATTTACGGTGTGATGATAGACATTATTTTTTTAAATAATAACGATGTGAATACAGTCTGTATAGGAAGAACAATGGTTCTGCCACCCCTTCCTCCATCTCTCGGGATCTGCGGACCTGCTGTGTTTACAGCAGAGCCAATACATGTTCCTTGGAGTTATTTCATGATCATGTGGTGACTTATCTCCTTCCTTCTGCGGCCTCGTGAGCCACAGCAAGTACCCTTGATGTCTTCTGTAGCAATAAGGCTTGGCTCTCGAGTGTTCTGCAATCCCCACCACCACCACCACCACCACCACCACTCAGTGCAGAGGCGCTGACCTCCCTCAGCTCTGGACACTTCAGCTATTGACGCTCCAACAGTGTGGTCTTCCTTTTCCCAGGCAGCGCGTAAAATGAGCAGGGCCGAGTTCAACGGAGAAGCCTAGCTGAACAAGCCAACACGCAAATGAGAACAAGAGCCCGGGGACTTTCCTAAGACAATCAGAGGATCTGGAAGAACAATATTTAGCAGAACTCAAAGCTTCCCCTCCCACATTAAGACAACAACTTGGAGCAGATGACTTAAAATATTTAAAACCCACTTTAGTGTTAATCCAAAAGAGGTGTTTTTTTGTTTTTTTTTTTTTTTTTTTTTTTTTTTTTTTTTTNNNNTGTGGTGTTTGTGGGTGGGGGGTTGGGGGGTTGTGTTTGGGGGTGGGGTGTTTTTTTTTTTTTTTTTTTTTTTTTTTTTTTTTTTTTTTTTTTCCTCATCATAGTTCCAGACAAGGTACTCAGGAATGGAATTCGAGAGATGTGTTGTGGACAGCAGCTCTCATTGCAAGGCAGGTGTTCTAGCCACCCTTGTGTGGCCTCCTTTCCACCTTTGGCAGGTCCCCTCTATCACCCATCCCTTCTCTTGGTTCCATCCAGCTCCCCAACTGCGTCATTTCCTGTGGCATTGCCGCTGTCCCCCAAGTCCTCGGGATTTGACTGAGTCCTCTTAGGAAATCAAGCTACCGACATTTGCCCTTTGGTAAAAGTGAGTCAAGGCTGGAGGGCAATCGTCAGACCTTCCTCTTCTGCAGGCCAAACTTTCCAAGGGCTGACACCACAAAGTTCAGATGCAAACGGAAGTGACCGGGCTCTGGCCCCCGGCCAAGGGTGGACTGAAAACAGGAATGGAACTGTAGGGAAGAAGCCACAGAGCCCGGATATACAATGTTTCCAGAGGAGTCATCTTGGCCTTAAGTCCCAGATGGCCCAGATTTGAGCTTGGGTCAAGAAGCTCCAGCTATTACAAAGACCAATCTCTCACATCCTAGCTGACAATGGAGGCTGGTAAACATTTCAGATCAAAGACCTAAATCTTGTTATCTCTTGTGACTCTCAAACTAAGAGTATATATGTATTAAATATTCCAATTAAATATATACACATATAGTTTTATATATTTGTGAATATATTTAATTTAAAAAATATATATTTATATACATGTATATATATTCAATTTAAAAAGAAAAATATACTATTGTGCGCATATGCGTGTTCTTTTGCATGTGAGGTGTGGAGAGGTATATATGTTCCACGCTGTACATGTAAAGAGGACAACTTTGAGCCAGTTCTTTCCTACCTTAATGTAAAGCCCAGGAATTAAACTCAAGTGTCCAGGTTTGTACTCCAATTTCCTTTATCCACTGAGTCACGTTGCAGGTCCAACAGCAGTTTTCAAACTATTAAAATCGTTAATGGGAGTGGAGTTTTATTCTGGGAAAATTGGGAAAATGGGGCTATTCTAGAGGTGAATGGCAGCAACACTTTCACAGACTCAAGAATGCTGACTTTCGACCATCCATGACCAACCCATAGCCTGTGAGCTACATCCAGCAAGGACAGCTTGTAATGTGGACTGCCACAAGATTGCAAACTCAGCTATGTTTTCTCTCCTTTCTCTGTCCTCTCTCTCTTCTTACTAGCTAACTCTTACATCTTAACTTAGCCCATCTCCACTAATCTGTGCATCACCACAGGTCGTGGCCGACCAGCAAGGTTTCAGCCCATCTGTCTCTGGTGGCAGCTCCATGGCTCATGGCTTCTCTTACTCTGCCTTCTTTCTCCCAGCATTCACTTTAGTTTTCCCCACCTAGCTAAGTTCTGCCTTGTTATAGGTCCAAAGCAGTTTCTTTATTCATTAATGGTAATCACAGCATACAGAGGGAAATTCCACACCAGACCACTTAATTAGAGTGGCCATTCTTCATTTTTTTTTAAAAAAATGTAATTTTGAGAGGTAAGAGAGAGGACGGGGGGGGGGGGGTCCTGTGTGTGAGTCCTGGTGCGCATGTGGATGTCAGATGATCACCTTTGGGAGTCAGTTCTCTTCTCCCACCTATGGGTGCAGGGTCTTTCATGTTTCTGTGATGCTGTGTACTTCAGCCTAGCTGTCCCTCAAGCTTCCGGGTGACTCACTTGCCTGGGCTTCCCAACCTACTGTAGAGATCTCAGGATTACAGGCACATGCTGCCGAGTTTGACTTTTAACATGGGTTCTGGGGCTCAAACTTATATCACCAGGCCTGCATGACAAGCACTTTGTCAGCCACTGAGTCATCTCACAGGCCCATGACTAATCATTCTTCTAGTCTCGAAAAGAAAAGAAGATCCAGGTTCAGTCCCACGTGAGAAGGACTTGCCCCATGGGGAATTTGGACACTTGTTCAAGACAAATTTTACATGAACAAGCATGGTTGGGATGATGTGCACCCCCCCGACACACACTCCTTACACTCATGATCAGACTCCAAGGCTCCGTTCTGAACCATGGTTATAGCCCCAAGGCCGAAGACATCTTCAAAACCTTATTGCTTCCCTGTGGAAGAATAGTCATGTGAGGTCTCAGGGTGAGAGCTAGGCTCTGTGGTTGGAGCAACAGGCAGTTTGGAGGAAGACTGTGCTTACACTGCGCAGAGCCGGAGAAGGCTATTGTAGGAAGGAGTACCGCTTTAACAGGAGCCCAGCGGGAAGGGAGAGAGCCGGTTGTCAGAGGGTCTCTGGGTGATGGGATTCCATCAGTCAGAGGACTCACAGGTCAAGGGTCAGGGTGAGAGAAGAGTATGGACTCTGAAGCCAGAGCACAGTGTTCAAATCCCGGCTCTGTCACTTGCTAGCCATTTGGCTAGGTAAGATGAAGCTCCTTTCTCACTTCTATACAATGAGAATGGTGATCGCTACCACACTAAGATGCTACAATTACATTATAAGATAGCATTACATTGTAAGAAACTGACTGTCATGTCCAAAACTCGACAGTGAAATTTCTTTCTTTTTAAGTTTTATACGTACGAATGTTTTGTTTACATGCACGTCTGGCCATCACATGCACGTTTGGTGCCTCCAGTGGTTCTGGATCCCCTGGAACTGGAATTATAGGTGGCTGGAGACTGCCGTGTAGGTGCTGGGATTCAAACCTGGATCCTCGACGAGAGCAATAAGTACTCTTAATTGCTAAGCCACCTCTCCAGCCCCTCTCTCTGTTTGTAATCATCCATTTCTAAACTGTCTGAGGGCGGGAAATAAAGGACATTAAACAAACGGTTCTCACAAGCACTCAGGCAGGTGGTGGCCATCCAGGGTGTGAGCCTTCCCCAAGACCCGTGACATACTGCACTCTTTATTTCTAGTCCCTCAAACTGCACAGTTCGGGAGGGCTGGGCCAAGAGGAAACGCTGCCACATGCCAAAATGACAATGTGTTACAGATGATGATTTGTAGGGATTCGGGAAGCAGAGGATGACACTCTTAACTTGTTTTTCTATTCCTGTTTAATGGTTTACAAAACTATTAATCAAGAAGCCCGTTTGGCTGAAAAACATCGGTGATGAGTAGCCGACACCAGTTTCTGTCACACTGGCCCTTTGCTGGTGGTTTCAGGAGTTCGAGACCAGATGACTTAGCGGTTGAGCTACTGTGGAAGGGATTTCACAAGCTGCGGGCTCTTTCTACTGCCTTCCACACACCAGGACTTGTTTAAACAAGCACAAGACAGAGATAAGATTCCTAATAGTCATTTTAATCCATTTCTCCTACAGGGTGCTTATGAGACTTTGATGAAGCAAGGTAAATTGGATACTGTCACTGTCCCTCAGGATAGCTTGTCATGAAAAATATTCAGGGGTTGTTTCAACGTCAAGTAGCAACAGCCCTATATCAGAACGACAGTGTGAGGGAGTTCAGAGCAAAAGCAGCCGACCAAACAAGGGTGTCATCAGAGGTAGCTTTCTGGAGGGTGAGGTCACTGGAGCTATAGTGTCCTTAACTAAGGCTTTAAGTCTCAGATGTAAAAGCTACTGCAGGGGCAGAGACAAAGGAAGCCAGAGACAGGCGGTCTGCTTAGTGGCCAAGTGAGGGTTGGGAGGAAAGGATTCGCTGGCATCCAAGTTGGAGTCTAGTGGGGCCTTAAAGGAAGGTTCTGGACGCCATCAAATAATTGCAGACTCTCACGTAGGGAAGTATAAAGTAAGAAATACAGGCCAGTCTGATTTCCATTTAAAAAGGATTTTTAAGGCGCGCGTGTGCTTGTGCGAGAGAGAGAGAGAGAGAGAGAGAGAGAGAGAGAGAGAGAGAGAGAATGAATGTGGGTGCCCGTGAAAGCCAAATGAGGTTATTAAATGCCCTGGTGCTAGCGTCACAGCCAGCTGCTTCAATGAGGTGGGCTGGCCAGCCACCTCCTAGGATCTGACTGTTTTCACCCCCTGGTTATTTATTCAGGTTCTGGGGATTTGAACCTAGGTCCTCATGCTTGACCCTCCCTTCTTCCCCAGCCCTACACTTTCATACAACTGTCATGCAGCCAGTTCACACAAGCATCTTCGGGAACATATGAGTAAACATGTGTGGCGCCTATACTTCTAGGCAATAGGGGAGAATCAGGTTCAATAAATAACCTTGCAGGATCAGTAGTGGGTATATGTATTTGTGACAGCGGTCCTACAGAGATGTAACAGAAAGGTCTATTCGCCCCAGCTAGGGAACCGATGGCAGAGCAAAGCAAAGATACAACTGAAATCCAGCTTGTGAAGCAATAAGTATATTAGGATTGCTTAGTGAAGTATGGGAAAAGGGGCCGCTTAAAGAAGCAGGAATGAGTTAAGTGCAGTTGTATGGGTGAAGATTCATTAAAGACGGCACCCTGGGGACCTCTGCAGGGCTTGCCAGCAGCTTAATAGTCAAGGAGTCTCTTCTACACAGTTGTGCTGATCTGAGTCTCCTCAGCAGGGCTTACTGCCTTTATAACCTCGAGTAGGGGGAGATCTTGTATATCTGCTAAGTTTTAGAGAATTACTGAGACTTGTGAGTTGTTTACTCCCTGAGTCCTAACCGCATTCCTTTAGAACGTCTCAAATCTTAGTGAACTTTCTCCCAGGACGGAATGTCCCAACTCAAGAGGGAAT